GAAAAATGTTTGCCTACTTCCTGGGCCAGTTCTTTTCCTTGTGGACATGGCAGTCTGCTGGTCATCAGTGACGTTCTCACTTGGCTCCATGGAAGTGAATTTGGCAGAAATCCTTCAAGTTTCTGGTACGTGGTTACTTTTTACCATTAATTTCTGGTACTGTTGTAGAGGCTGCTATCTGTACAGACTAAGGCTACTTGCAGTGAGATGATGGTAGAGGAGGGTTCAAGGCATCAGTGCCTTCATTGCCATCTTGTCTTTTTTTTTTTTTTTTTTTTTTTTTTTTTGAGACAGAGTCTGGCTCTGCCGCCCAGGCTGGAGTACAGTGGCCGGATCTCAGCTCACTGCAAGCTCCGCCTCCCGGGTTCACGCCATTCTCCTGCCTCAGCCTCCCGAGTAGCTGGGACTACAGGCGCCCGCCACCTCGCCCGGCTAGTTTTTTGTATTTTTTAGTAGAGACGGGGTTTCACCGGGTTAGCCAGGATGGTCTCGATCTCCTGACCTTGTGATCCGCCCGTCTCGGCCTCCCAAAGTGCTGGGATTACAGGCTTGAGCCACCGCGCCCGGCTGCCATCTTGTCTTGAAGTACAGCTAATTGCATTTTGTGATGTGGTTCTTTTGGGCTTAGTCTGAACGCCTTTATTCAAGACTCACTTTCATGTTAGTGATAAATCATTATCCATATGTAATGGGTACATGTGCCTCTCTTTTTCCTTTCTTTTCCAGCCAAGTAGTGACTCACCAAAAAAAGTTGAGAATCCCTTGAATTAGGATATTTAAGTCTAAAAGTGGATGAGAACTTTATGAGACTCTTATATGTAAATATTATTAAGATTTATAAATCGACTCTAGAAACTGGAACAAAATAAACAAGCACTCATTTGTTTTTCTAAATCCAGTCCAATCCTAAGGCCCTCCTGTCTGCACATATTGGGACTCTCCTCCCCACCACCACCTTCCCATTTGGTGAAAGGGTGTGGTCCTTGGTCTCTGGTGGTTCCCATGGTTACTGATGCACTTCCTGTCAGGAAGCAATGGTTGGTGCAATGCCATCTGTCAAACACTGCTCTTGTGATGGGCCACACAGATGTCCCTCGAGGTGTTCCTCTCACCAACTGCAGGCTTAGCCACACACTGCTGCTTTCGAGGCCACAGAACTTAATGATCAGTCACCAGAGATAGCTGTGTGCAAGTTCTCTGCCAGCCCCAGGTGGAAGGTTTTCTAAGAAAGGTGGAATGGCTGTATTTTTATATTCAATTCAACAAACGTTTATTGAAAGCTGCCTATAGGCCAGGCACTGTGACAAGATTTGAGGATTTAAAGATGAATCACAATTTCTGTTGCCAAAAATGTATAATCTCGGTGGGGTAGAAGTGGAATGCATATAAACATAATAATCAGTATTACAAATCAGAATTTGATAAACCCCCTTAGAGACTGTGCAAAGGAAGGATGTTTGCAGTGTGTCTTCTTCCAGAATGTAACTTGAATCTGTACTTGGCTGCATCTCTGCTGATTCTGCTCTGTCAGAGGCACCATCCTTTCTCTTCTGGAGAACTTAGGGTTTCCTCACCATTCCTCTGCCATTGCACCCCTGCCGACATGGCATGTTCTCTGTACATACCGCAGTCTCAGTGATATTGGTGATTCCTTTAAAAAGCAAATCAGGGTTGGGTATGGTGGCTCATGCCAGTAATCCCAGCACTTTGGGAAGCCAAGGAGGGAGGATCACCTGAGATCAAGAGTTCAAGACCAGCCTGGCCAACATAGTGAAACTCCATCTCCACAAAAATACAAAAATTAGCCAGGCATGATGGTGAGTGTCAGTAATCGCAGCTACTCAGGAGGCTGAGGCAGCGAATCACTTGAACCCAGGAGGCAGAGGTTGCAGTGAGCTATCACGCGATTGCACTCCAGCTTGGGCAACAAAGCGAGACACTGGCTCATAAAAAACAAAAAAAAGCAAATCAGGCCTGTAATCCCAGCACTTTGGGAGGCCAAGGTGAGAGGATAGCTTGAGCTCAGAAGTTCAAGACCACCCTGGATAGCATAGTGAGACCCCCATCCCTACCCAAAAATACAAAAAATTAGCCGGGCATGGTAGCACATGCCTATAGTCCCAGCTACTCAAGAGGCTGAGGTGAGAGGACGGCCTGAGCCCGGGAGGTAGAGGTGGGGGTTGCAGTGAGCTGAGATTGTGCCACTATACGCTAGCCTGGGTGACAGAGCAAGCCTCAACTCAAAACAAAACAAAACAAAACTTTAAAAAAAAAAAAAAAAAGCAAATCAGAACCTACCACACTTCTGCTTAAACACTGCAGTGGCTTCTCACTGCATTTAGAATAAGATTCAAACTCCTGAATATGGCCTGAAAGGCTGAGTATGATCTATCCCCACCTACCTTTCTAACCTTCCCACTTCCCCACTTCCTCTCCCTCAGGCTCTCCAGGCCTGTTTCCTCTCCCATCTCTTGACTGGGCCCTTCTCATTCTCCAGATGGCCCGAATGAGGCCTCTTCAGAGAGGTCACCCAGTCTGCCCCTTCAGGCTTCCCATCCATTATTTTTTCTCAACATCCTTTGGTTTTTTTCAAGGAACCCCTCAAATTTGTGATGATGTATTTATCTGTTTAGTTGTTTCTTTCCACCTGACTGCGAACCACCCCCGGCTTGCTTTTCACTGTACACCTATAGGCCTGGCACTCATTCAGTGCTTAGCATATAATTTTTAAATTAAGACTGCCTTAGTCCCACAGGTGGAGAATGATTTCAGCAGGTGAGTTAAGGGCACGAGGAAAGGGCCTTTGAGCAGAAGTAATGACATAGGCAAATTGTCAAAGGAGAGGCTCCCTGGTGTATTTGTAGAAGAAAGTAGACCCGTGTGTCTGAACCCAGCACAGTTCACTTATGATGGTTTTGAAATCCGCCCTGGAATTTTCATGCATCTTTAAAATTTTTGGTTTAGTTTTTCAAAAAATAAATGAAGTCTTTTCTTTATTTTTTCAATGAGGGCAATGTTTATTAAGAACAGCACATAAGGTAGAAAAGAAGGTTGGTTTCTAATCTTGGTTCATCTCCCCAACTGACCTTGAGTTTTAAAAACAGAGAGAGCACGCTCTTGTGTGGGTCTCCACTGTCATAGAGCCCTGGTGAGAATCATGAGCAGATGTAGTAAAAAGTACTTCTTTCATATCAGCAGGTGGTTCTGTAGTATTTGCATCCATAGACTTCTATGCAGCATCCTTTCTGTTACTTACTCTTTTCTTTTTTAATCAAAACAGTCCATTGAAAAAATAATATTGATTACAACAATGAAATCTGTTGATTTAAATGGTGGAACACAATGTTATCCTGGAGATATAATTCTGTGAAGTTTTGATTCAGGGAAAGTCCAACCCCGCCCTTGCATCTCTTTCCCAGCTCTGGATCCATTCTTTATTCCAGCTGAGATGTTTATTTTATGTATGAAACAGCTCCCATCTACCTACAACTGCTGATTAAAAGCTCAGAATAATGAAATCTGCTCCGTCGAAACTTGACTGTTGGCTATAGTTATTATGCAACTCTTAACATTCTTCTTTTGTTCCTGTCAATAAAATAAAATTCTCAGTTTTTTATTTCAGAGCTAACTCTTCAAATACACTAAAATTTGTTGCACTCGTATTTTCTAATGGCTGAGCTGAATTACTTCTTAAAGTTAAGATTATATGCTTTTGGGAGGAATAAGAAAATGTAGTGTCTGTGCAATAGCATCATTCAGACTGTCTGTGAACAGCTAAATGGAGATAAGAGTACAAAGGTCACTCCATGGGCCTTCAATTTTTGTTTTTAAGCAGACTGCTCACCATACCTTGATAGAAATAGCAAATATAGGGCCAGGCGTGGTGGCTCACGCCTGTAATCCCAGCACTTTGGGAGGCCGAGGCGGGCGAATCACCTGAGGTCAGGGAGTTTAAGTCCTGACCAACATGGAGAAACTCCATCTCTACTAAAAATAAAAAATTAGCCAGGCGTGGTGGCAGATGCCTGTAATCCCAGCTACTCGGGAGGCTGAGGCAGAATTGCTTGAATCTGGGAGGCAGAGGTTTGTGGTGAGCTGAGATTGTGCCATTGCACTCCAGTCTGACAACAAGAGTGAAACTCTATCTCCAAAAAAAAAAAGGAAAGAAAGAAAAAGAAAAGAAATAGCAAATATAACAAGAGACATAGCGTAAATGATAAGATGCAGCATATCCCAATGCCTGGATGATTCGCAGCAATTAGGAGACCCCTAGTGGGGTTTCTTAGTCAAATGATAACTCTTTTCCTACCCACTCATCTTGATTTCTGAGTTTCTCATGTTAGAGGAGTCTTGCACGCTTGCCTGAAATCAGTTAGTGGCCCTACGCTGAAGGGCGCCTATCTGAGCAAACAAGTACATCAGCCACAGTGCCCTGAGTGATTGAGTTATGGGGGCAGAACTCTAGAGGTCTTCTAGGTGTCTTGTAAATGAGGGAGTGGGCATGCACCGAACTTTCTGGGAGTCTGTTTCATAAGAGAGGGACAGAACATCATGAAGGTCATCAAGGCAAAGACTGAAGGTTGGGTTGAGGTACCACCAAAGGGAGGTGATGTGAAGAGAAGACCAGAACAACTAAGGTCACATTTGGCTCTGTCCCTATTTTTCCAATGGGTGGCCCTCAGAGAGAGTCACCATTAAATTAGGGGACCTTTGGACCAGAGGGGTAGTCAAGAAAGGCTTTGCAGTAAAAGGGTGTTGTATAAGCATATGTTCCAAGCACTTTAGCAAATAGCTGTACCCCACAAACACTTGATGATTTGTTAAGTGTATGAAAGGGGCATTTTGAAGGTATAACCAACACACACACATGCACACAAATTCACAAGCTACCATTCCATGATTTGTTAATACAGGAAAAATATGTGTGTATGGATGCGTGTACATTTGTTTTTGTTTGTCGTTGCTTCTCCTAGGACTCTTTATTGATACAGAGAAAAAAATAAATTAGTTTATGAGGCAGAGGATTGTTAGGAAACCTTTCCAGAGGAGGTGATCTCTGAGTAAGGTTTTAAGGAATGACTAGAATTTGCAAGACAGACAAGGAATGGAAGAGGGTTGGCAAGAGGGAGTAGTGTGTCTGTAGGCACTGAGATAGTGCTACAGGGTGAATGTTCGTTCGTATCCTCCCACAATTCATATGTTGAAGCCCTAACCCCCAATGTGATTGTATTAAGAGGTGGGGTGTTGGAGAGGTAATTAGGTTTGGAGAAAGCCATGAGGGTGGAGCCCCATGATGAGATTAGTGTCCTTTTAGGAAGAGGAAGAGACACCAGAGCTTTCTGTCTCTGCCTGTCATGTGAGGACATCACAAGAAGCCAGCTGCCTACAAGCCAGGAAGAGAACCCTCACCAGAACCTAGCCACACCAGCACCCTGCTCTCAGACTTCCGGCCTCCAGAACTGTGAGAAATGAGTTTCTGTTGGCTAAGCCACCTAGTCTTTGGTATTTTGTTATGGCAGCTGAAGCTGACTAAGGGGGTAGTTAGAAAAGCTTTTTAGAGGGTATTAGGAAGGCTTTTGTGACAGAGCTGCCACAGTAGGATATCTGAATAAGGTTTTAAAGAATGAATAGAATTTGCCAGGCATACAAGGAATGGAGGAGAGTTGGCAAGAAGGAAAGGTGTATATAAAGGTAACAAAAAACATTTAGAATTTGAGAAAGTCATTTTGTGTGGCTGAAGTGTGCTACGTTAGTTTCTTATTGCTGCTGTAACAAACTATCAAAACTTAGGAGCATAAAACAAAATGTATTTTCTTATAGCTCTGAAAATCAAAGGTCTGTCATGGGTCTCACTGAGCTTGAAGTGTTGGCAGGCTGTGTTACTTTGGGGGGCCTAGGGGAGAATCTGTTGCCTTACCTTTTCTAGCTTCTATGGATCACATACATTACCTGGCTTGCAACCCCTTCCTTCATCTTCAAAGCCAGCAGTATAGCATCTTCATGTTTCTCTCTGACTCTGACTTCCTGCCTACCTCTTCCACATTTAAAGGACCACTGTGATTGTGTTGCACCCACATAGATAGTCCAGGATAATCTGCTTATATTAAGGTCAGCTGACTAGCAACCTTAATTTCATCTGCAACCCTATTCCCTCATGCCATGCAATGGAACATATTCACAGGTTTCACGGATTCCATGGACATATTCAGGGAGGCCATTATTCTGCATACCACATATACAATGCAAGACATTGAGGGTGACCGTAAAGAGTAAAGATGGCATGACCCATCAACCCTAGGTGGAAAAGATCATCCATTCAAAAGGGACCATCATCTGACATTTAAAAATAAATAGAGGAGTGAAGGTACTGGAGATTTTCATAAGGTATAATGGGTGTGTTTCTGTTGACTATTGGTTCATAAACCCAAAACTTGGTGGCTTAAAACAGTAATGATTTATGATTTCTCAAGATTCTGAGGGTTGGCTGGTGATTCCACTGCTGGTTTCAACTGGGCTCATTCATAAACTACATTCAGCTGTAGGGTTGGCCGAGCTGGAAGGTCCAAGATGACTTTGCATTATCTGGCACATAGTGACAGCCATTGGCAGGGCTGCCTCAGTGGTTTTCAATGTGAATTCTCATCCCCTGCTGGGCTAGGCCAGTTTCCTTACATGGCGGGCTTGTGGCAGCATTCCAACAGCAAGAAGGTAGAACTGCAGGGCCTCTGGAGACCTAGACTCTAGACCTCATGCAGCATCACCTCCACTGCATTCTTTTGGGCCAAGCAGTCAGAAGCTTAGCATTAATTCAAGAGGAAGGGAAATAGATTTCACCTCCTGATGGGAGTTGCTGCTGTGGCCTTATTTCATCCAGCACAGGCTGTACAGGTAGGAGTTTTTGTTCTGAGAGTGGAATTTTGAAATTTGGGATTTCAGAGGTAAAATCTTTCTGGATGACAACAATATCCAGCACGTGTCCAAAAGGAGATGGATGGCTCAAGTAGAATGTGGTAAAGATCACTGGCACTGAAGGAGAGAAGAAATGGTGAGGCTAGGATATGGGCTGCACCATCCTGTGGGCCCAAGAACACTGTGTGGGCAGGGAGTGTGGAGGAGTGGCATGAAATCCAGGAGATGACAGCAATAATAGCAGGCAGGTATGAGATGATCAGACCAGATGGGGTGATTCTGTAGACCATGAAGAGCATGATCACGCTTTTCTAGGTCAGCCATGTGAGTGGTGGGGACCAGAACTACTCCACCATGCCTTTAACTTCCCCACCTGCACGGTCTTGTTTATTTAACAGTTTTTCAAATAAACTTGTCCCTTCTAATTTCTGAATACTGTGCAAGTGGATTCATCAGGTATTGGTGAAAATATGAAATAACGTTCAAGTCAGTTTTGAGTAAGATGACGGAACTGCCATGGTAGCAGATTACCAGTGTCCATTCTTTCAAGCTTTTCTTTTTTTTTCTACCTTCCTTGTCTCCTCAGGTATGTATCTAAGTATGAGAGGGTCTCCACATCGATCAGCAGGATTTATAGTGGTGACATTTATTAATAGTGTTAAATGAATAATACTTATTACTCTCATTCTAGGTAAATAAAAATCAGAAACCAGACAGTCATTATCCAGATGGTCCTAAGAGTACACTAAACCACCAGAATGCTAGATATGAATAAATTAGAGCCTGTAACAAGTGGAGAAGGATAAAATTGCATATTTTTATAATTACTACCATAATATAATGTTTCTGTGTTTATGTGTAACAAATGAACAAATGATTTACAACAATGCAACTGTAGCATGAGTTTCCATCCTTAGCTGTGACTTCACATTCTTAAAATGCTTTTTAGAATACCACAAGAGACATTTCTATTCCAAATAAAAGATTTTCAGTATTTGGAAATTCAGTGAATGCTTCCTGGAAATTCCATATCTGCAGCAAGTGATCTGGGCCATGAATATTTAACTCTGCCCGGCCTTTTATTTTCCCTTACATATTATCCATTTCGCACAAGGGTCAGCACCTTTGGCAGTCACTTTGGTCTCGAGCAGACTGTTAGGGATTAGAGGACCCACGGATGTTATTCTCACCTTTGACACAGAAATTCTTCTTAGGACTACTCATGAAATGTGTCTAAAAATAAGTGAAGTAATGATAGTTTTTGTAATCATAGCCTTAATACGAAACTAGAAGGGCTTCTGTTAACTCTCGAAGTCATCTTCAGTGAAAGCGACATAGCCATTTCATCAGTGCTGCTATGATTCAACTTATTTGGGGGATTCCTTCTTGGGGGCTGCTAGCAGGGCTAGTTTGCAAGCCTACCAGAAAATCAATTCTGTATTATTAGTGTCCTATTCTCCGTTTTTACCAAGTCTAAACATTCTCCCAAATTTTAGGGATTGGCTCTATATGACATTTATCTATCAAAAAATAAATAAATAAATAAAATTCACCCTTAAAAGAGTAAGGTTTCCCACCACTGAGGACATTTAAAGTAATGAACCTCCATTTCCAAAGTTGTGAGACTCCAACTAGAATCTGTTTTTCTGATTCCAGCTACTACCCCATGCTAATGTAACCAGAAACTTCTCAAAGGGTGTTAAGTATTACCATTTTTATTCTGGAATTTAGAAATGCCTCAGGCAAGCATTTTTAACACAGCTTTCCGACTCTATTATCTTTTCATTAACTGTGACCTCTTCCCCGCCCTCTCCACACCCAAAACTTTTTCTGTCTTCTTTGCTTAAGATCAGCTATACCACATCTTGTTTCTGTGTTCTTTCATTTTCAGTGAGTTACTGTTTGGTTAATTCTTCCAAGTTGTATCCTTTTTATAGAACTTTGTCATTATTAGGTTTATGAGTTTGCATCTAATTGTGGCCTTCCACCTGACTCAATTTTGTCATCTGAATGCATTTGTCTTCAGTATCATGATTATAATTTTTGAAACCATCAGCATGTCAGATACTGCACTGAGGACTTAATTCATCAGTTTACATAATCCTCACAACAACCTTAGGAGATGAGTATCATCATGATTCCCACTTAACAGATGAGGAGACTGAGGTTCAGAAAGTACAAACAACTTGCCCAAAGTCCAATGACTGGAAAAGGGGGGAGCTAGGATTCAAACTCACATCCTTCTAAGGCAAGGTTTCACAACCGCAGCCCTGTAACGTTTGGGGCTGGGTAATTCTTTGTTGTGGGACATTGTCCTGTGCACTGCAAAATGTTTAGCGGCAGCATCTCTGATCTTCTACCCACTAGAAGCAGAACTCCCTCCACTAACTGACAACCAGACACGTCTCCAGATACTGCAGAGTGTTCCCTGGGATTTGTTTAGGACCCGCCAATCTAACACCAAATTCATGCTTTTGCTATGTTACACTGTTAGACGGGTAACTAAGAAAACCATAGAAGTTTAAAACTAAATTTGCAAGAAATCAATTTTAGGAGTCACCATGCCTGGTTGATCATCAGAATTGGAGATTTTTAAAGACTCCTTTTCCCCACCCAGGATGTTCAGGGTAAGTATTTGTCAGGCGGACAGGTATCTGACTGTTTTAAGCCTCTCCACGGTGTAGGAATTACAGATCCAATCCTAACCTAAGCACACATCTGTTCCTTGAATCACTCTACTCCATTCCTGCCAAATCGTTCTCCAGCCTCAGCTTTAACACGTCTTGTGATGGCGTTACAGTCGACAGTTCCATACCCTTCACTTTCTGAGACAGCCCATGTTCCGATAGTCGTAACTGTGAAAAATAATTCTTCTTAATATTCTTTCTCTATATCCCTGTCAATGCCCTTAATCTCATGTTATCCAAGTTATTGTTTTTCTCAAATCAGATGAAATAAATAAACACTTGAGTCCCAATTATGTATTAGGCTTTACTCTGAACAGTTTTTTACCATAGCCATTAAAATCTTTACTGACTCCTTAAAAATGACTGTCCACCCACTTTTTTCAGTTTAACAATGGACTTCCATTGCTTGTCAGCCTTTTGACTAAGATCAAGTGTAGTATCTGTTCTTATTACAATAGACTCCCTCGAAAAGGCAATTATAATTAATTAAAATATTAAACTCATACATGGCTGGCCTCCTACCCAGCCGCTACTGGTAAGCAGTCTGCACCCCTGTTTGTGAAGGGTCCTGTCCCTGGGGAGACCAAGCTGGCAGGTGCTTTTTTTCTTCCTCTTGGCCTCTCATCAGCAACCCTGTTTAAACCTTCTTGGATGATTTCAGGAAGATTCCAAAGTAACTCTCCTGGTAAAATTATTCTTTGCCATATGTTCCAGATTTCTTGATGAAAACACGGAAGATAATTTTTTTGAATCTTATTATGGGCCCTCTTAAGAATATCTTTTTTTGTGGCTGGGCACGGTGGCTCACGCCTGTAATCCCAGCATTTTGGGAGGCCAAGGTGGGGAGATCACTTGAGATAAGGAGTTTGAGACCAGCTTGGTCAACATGGCAAAACCCCATCTCTACTAAAAATATAAAAAGTAGCCGGGCATGGCGGTGGGCACCTGTGATCCCAGCTACTCAGGAGGCTGAGGTAGGCGAATCGCTTGAACCCAAGAGGCAGAGGTTGCAGTGAGTGGAGATTGCACCACTGTGCTGTAGCCTGGGCGACAGACTGACATTCCATCTCTCTCTCTCTCTCTCTCTGTCTCTGTCTGTCTCTGTCTCTCTCTCTTTCTCTCTCTCTCTCTCTATATATATATTTTTTTAATGAATTTTGAATTTGATTTAATACAAATAAATATGTTAATTTGATTAAATTTAGACTTACAGTTTACTCTTCTTTGACGTCAGGTAGTCTTTCAGCCTGCACTTTTGATTATTCTCTAAGTCCCCATAATAGTTTTGAACCTATAGAAAACTGCTTTTCAACAACAGATATTGGCTAATGGGCAATATTGTGATGAAGCAGATGCTAGCATTGCCAAGGCTGCCTATTGCCCCAGTGTTGATGTTTAGCCCTACAGGTGACCGGACTTGCTAGCAGGCCAACGTGAGTAGCCAGTAGGCTATAAATGTGTGCCAGCTGTCCCGACAGTGGCTGAATGGAGTTCCAGTAGGCAGGCTGTGTTTAGAGAAAACCAAGAAGAAAATAACATGTTAACGGGAATAAACCGTTTGGGGTCAAAATAACAGTCCCATGTTTTTGTACTTGTGTGAGATATAAAAAGAAAACTTGAGTGTCAATTAGGCTTAGTATGAACTTCCAAACATTCTTGCCCGTGCTTGTGCACCTCCAAGGAAGTGGCTGGATGAAGGCAAAACTCCCCGAACATCTCACGTCTTCGATTGCTCTGGAAAGCCTTGGTGTCCTTACTGCGGTGTTCGCTCTCTCCTTCCAGAGTTTTATAAATGGACGCTGACATGGACTACGAAAGACCCAACGTTGAAACCATCAAGTGTGTGGTCGTGGGTGACAATGCCGTGGGAAAGACGCGCTTGATCTGTGCCAGGGCGTGCAATACCACGCTCACGCAGTATCAGCTGCTGGCCACCCACGTGCCAACCGTGTGGGCGATTGACCAGTACCGCGTGTGCCAGGAGGTAAGATGCACAGAGTGTCTTTAGCATCCCTAGGGCACATCATTGCTGGTTACCAGTCTGATTTTTTCAAGGAGGAGCGTGGGTAAATTGCACATTCAAAACTAAACTAACCTTTTTAGTGCCACAAAAGAAAACAAAAGTAAAATGCAAACCGGAGACTATGGCTCTGGGTATCCTGAATGAGGGTTGAGACAGGTGGTTCCAAAAAGGGAATTAAGACTTAGCTTAAATCCCATTAGATAGAATAAGGAAACTTAATGCAAGTGAATTGAGGGGCACTGAGGGTGCTGACTTGAACATGCTTCTCCTAGGGAACTTCTTACTGACACTGAGCACAGATGCTGTCTCTCTCTCTCCTGCAGGTCTTGGAGCGTTCTCGGGATGTTGTTGATGAAGTGAGTGTTTCCCTCAGGCTTTGGGATACTTTTGGTGATCATCACAAAGACAGACGCTTTGCATATGGCAGGTAAACCAAGACTAGTACAGTGCGGTTGAGCTTGAGTGCAATTTCCTTTTCAAAACCAGCAGCTGGTTCACAAATCAACAAAAACCACATCATATGGCCTTGAAATGTGTTGGGTTCTGCACTGTGTCTAAGAAAAGAAAAAAGAAAAAAAAAAAGAATGGTATTGTTTCCTGAAGTCAAGAAAAGCAGCATGCCCTGCCAATGAGGAAGTACTGTGTTGAAAACAAGCAGTGGTCAAGCTGGAAGGTTTGCTAGATGAGGATTCTGTAACACCCTCCAACTGCAGGCTGCTTTGATTGCTGGTTCTCTGAGTAACACTTCACTTGCCTTCTGTTAGAATGTTTTATGTTATTTTGGCACTCAGTCACCCTACTTCAGAAGGACTCTTTGGTCTTTTCATGACCATATTGGCAGAGTCTAATGTTATTTGCTTTGGGTTTTGTGTTATCTGAAAAGTCTGTTATTTTTATTAGAAGGTCATTTTTAAAAAGAAAGAAAAACATCCCTGAAGTCCTTTGCAAGACATATTTCCAAAATGAACGGAAACACTAATGTTTATTTTTTATTTTTAAAAAAAGGAGAAAAAAATCTAGTAATGGGAAAACTCCTCTAAAAGGACATTAATATGGGTAGGAACATGGTCAAAGTGCCTTAAAATATTTAGCAACCTCTGCTTGCCACCATAACTTAACGTCTCTCTCAATGAAAGGGTTATAGCTATTAAAATCTGGATTAGTGGAGACTTTTTTTTTGCCACTTAATTATAAATGAACACATTTCATTTTAAGTGTAGAATGTAGATATCATGGCCTTGTTGTCTCTTCTTAACATTAAACATCATGTTACCTTACAGGATTTTATTAGTTAGGAACTCCAAGCACATGAATTACTCCTTGGTATCGAGATAAGCATTTCTGAAGATTCTTCTATTTCTCCAAGCCAGTAGCTCTCTGAACAGACTTTTATTGTCATTTATCTAAGTGGCCTAAAATAATGAATAAACTGCTGAAAGAGTTTGCCCTATTCCTAGGAATTATTTCACACACTGAAAGAATCTGTGACTTAGACCACTTTTTTCAAGGGGACTCAGAAAGAGAGATATGGAAGCAAAACACGGTTTTAATGTCCGCTTGGTAACAAGGACTTTTGAACTTAATATCCGACATCATAGATAGTTTTCTTTTCCTTGAATTTCCTGGATTTTTTTTTCTTCCTGTAATGTTCTTGATTGTTATCTTAGTTGCCGTTTTGCTTTTTTCTTTTGGCCAATTGTTCTACATGTAAAAATAACAATTATAAATGAACCTGCTTGTAACTGCTGGGCAGTCAGGTTTGTAACCCCTGTGGTTTTGAGGAAGCTTGATTTGATGACTTTAGGCAGTGTGAGGATAAATACAATAGATTTCAAAGGACTTTTTTATATCCCCACTTCTAAAACGGTGTTGTGAAAATGATGAGCCTGATGATGAGTTAATGGAAATATTTGGGTTTAGACTCTAGAAACTATTTCAACAGCTCAGTGATTTGTTGCCACTAGAAATGTATGCATTTGTCAATACCTGTGAAAAAAAAAATACCACAGAAAAAAAGAGAAAACAACAATGAAATGTATTCATTTCAAACAATGAATTTTAACATGACCCCTCAGCGTAAAGCTGGTGCGGTGGTAATAAAAGGGCTGCTTCATTATTTTGTGAGATTCCTGCATAGCATTTATTTAATGGCACAATGGCCTTCGTAGATCCACACTGGGCCCTGTCCAGCTCCCTGACATAGCTGGAGTCATTTTACAATACAACATGCCATACCTGCGTGTGTGTTCCCTCCCAACAAAAATAAGCTGCTCTTTCCTGTGACTCCATCAGTTCAAAGTGCTTTGTTCTGCTCCCTTGTCTGTAACATTTGGTTCTGTCAACTGTAACCCATTATCCCTTTGGTAGAAACAGGAAGTGCTCCCCCAAGCCAACTTTGATTCTCTGAGGAACATAGAGGGGCTTCAGGAACACTCCCGTGTTTCTGGCCACGTTCTCCTTGGGGCCTCACTTTGTGTGCATGTTTGTACCTTGTATTTCCTCTGTCTTTTCCAATTCCTCACAGCCTCCAGGTGTCTTGACACAGACCCCACCTCTAGTTAAAGAACAAAAACCAGAGCTGCTCTTTCTTGCACTCCAGCATCTTTCTGTAAATGCTAAATATGTAAGATCACATTGACATAATGCCAAAAAAAATTACATTTTTATGGAAAAACCTGAGAGAAGTAGTTCTTTTATTCACTCTAGGTCCCTGACCAGTACATTTCCCTGCTCTGAGAGAGCTGTTTAATTTCTTAATGACTTCAAGTTTTACCTTTATATCATTCGTGAAGGCGAGGAATCATAATTATAGCTTCTGACAATGTTTGTTTTGCAAACCTGTTTTGTGACTGACATTTTTACTATACTTAGTGAGAATTACAATTCAGTGGGATGTACTCAGACATAAACTTTGAGGCATGTGAAATACGTTCCCTATACTTGGAAATGTATTTGAGACCTTTTTAGAATAATTAATTTGATTCTTGTGGTGACAGTGAGAGAAGCCAGATTTAAACCAACATGTCTTAGACCTTGCCTTCGGTTTCCTCTGCTTCATAGCAAAAGATAGTTAATAAGTTGCCCCTCAAACATTCTTTGGCATGGACAAGCTGTAGTTTGCAGAGAGGATTCTGTGGGATGAGGAGTTGTCAGTGGTAGGCAGTTGGCCAACTTGAATTTGCAATGTTCCTGATGTGGTATAACCACAGTGTTATTGCTCTCTTATGATTTAAATGGAACTATTCTACCCATTTTTTGCCAATTAGAATAAAATCTTCAATTTATCAAAAACCTGCTGTGTGCCAGTCAACACATTAGGTGTTTTGCCAACATTAGTTAATCCTTTCAGGAACTATAGGAGGCAGAGATGATCTTGGTGCTACCATTGAGTAAAGGGTTGAGTTCTTTTACTACCATAAATTTTCCCAACAACTGAGTCTCAGAGGCAGATTCAAAGTCACTCTGCCTGACTCCTGGCTCTCACTCTTTCCACTGTGCCAAGCTACCTCAACCTACTGGGACCCTACATTGGTGAGCTGGATTTCTATTTGCTCTTTTGGATTTGTGCAAAGATTGGAACTAGAAGAGATTTCAAAAGGTCATCTGGTTGACCCCATGTCTTCAGGAAGGGAAATCATCCATCTATCCAAAAAGAAGTATTGATAGGAGCCCTTCTATTCCATGGAGATGAAGGAAACAGAGTAGCATGAGCATTGTAATGCTCTGCACTTTGAAAACTGTCGACCCTCTCTTCTCTGGAGTGAGTAACTCCAGCTCTCTTATGGCCTTTTTCCCACCACCTACTTTATATCCACTTTTGGATGAACTTTTAAAGCTCTTTTCTGGATCTTTTAAAATGTCAGGAACAAAACCGTACATAGTAACCGTGACTTTGATCAGCTGCTCGTTTTTGGCAAGGAAAGCTCCTCTTCTTAAAGGGATGTCGCTCAACTCAAGAGTTGTCTCCTGGAGCTCTTATGAGAATGAAATGTCCACATTTAGGGACTTAGCACTGAAAATATAGACAAACGGGATGGGCTCTGCCTTTATCAGGAATCTGGCCCTTCAGTCCCTGTATTAGTCAGTTCTCACACTGGTAATAAAGATGTATTTGAGACTAGGTAATTTATAAAGAAAAAGAGGTTTAATGGACTCACAGGTCCATGTGGCTGGGGAGGCCTCACAATCATGGCAGAAGGCAAAGGAGGAGCAAAGTCACATCTTACATGGTGGCAGGCAAGAGAGAGAGCATGTGCAGGGGAACTGCCCTTTATGAAACCATCAGATCTCATGATACTTATTCACTATCATGAGAATAGCATGAGAAAGACCTGCCCTCATGATTCAGTTACCTCCCACTGGGTCCCTCCCATGACATGTGAGAATTATGGGAGCTACAGTTCAAGATTTGGGTGGGGACACAGCCAAACCATATCAGTCCCTTTTGTCTAGTCACGCACAGGTAAATAATTACAGATTCTATTGGTTTTTTTTTTCCCCCTATAAAATTTCCTTCATTGATCTGCCTGCAGGTCAGAGAACCTCCAGACACTGAATAAAGCCTATGTTGCTGACAGTGATAACAACAAGTACAGTTTAATCAGGGCGCCCCATGCGCCAGCCCTGTGCTACGTGCTGCACGTGTCCTGTCCTGCTTCATTCTTGTGGCGAGCCTGCAAAATAGGCTCATTTCACAGTTGGAGAAACAGGCACAAAAAAGGGCCAAGGTCAGACAGCCTGGACAGAGTGGAGCTGGACTTTCCTCTTGAGTCTGTCTGACTCCAAAGCCCACATCTTCCCCATCCACCATGCTGTTGTAGCTGGTGATGATGATGGATGACAAAATTACTTGAAATTTCCTCCTGGTACAGTCTGAATCTTACACAGTCCCATGTGGACCCTGAAGGCCAGCACTCACATTCTATTACCAGCTCTGAAATTCCAGTCCTCTTAAATTCTTTATTCCACAGCAAAGAACTTAATTCTTTATATGCATCCATAACTAGCTGAGCATGAGTCCTTTTGTTTTCAGTAAAAATGATACATCCAAGCAAACTTTCTGAGAGTGAATGGGAATCTTGGCATGTTTTCCCCAAATCATTTAACTAAAACATTCAGAACCACTGTACTTCCCCTTATCCCCAGCAATTTCTGGGCATATTTTCAGTCCAATTGGAACCCATTTATTATATAGCTTATTCTTACACACTGATTTTTCTCAAACGTTGTTAGTTCCTATGAGAAGTAAAGCACATGTTTTAAATCAGAACTATGGTTTCTGGGTGTCTAGTTTCATGTTGAAGGTACCTGTAATCAGACACGAATGAACACACCCCATTCTCAATGCACTGTTGAGGCCCTTTAAAAAATTCAGGACTGTAGTGACTGGTGTTTGTATCTTTGCCTGGGATTGGTTGTGCTTGTGTT